ATTTTCTTCTTCACGAACGCGATACTCCCTCCGCGTTCGTGATGCACAAAAGCCTGGGCGGACAGAATATAATTCCAAACCGAGGGTTACACCATTTTCACCATAACTTGACTTGTGGAGCTCGGTCTTGAGTGATTCTTTGAGGGATTTTCGCATAATTCGATTGGGTAAGTGTTCTTCACTTAGAATTGATTATATTCCATGAATTTGTCTTCATTTTTATCAATTAATTTGTGATATGGGTTGAGGAAAATGTTAGTTTTTGAAGAAAATTTCTAAAATGAAAAATCATGATTTGAGGGGCCAAATGGTATCGAAATTTAATAAATTTTGTATGGTTGAACTCATATGGGAATGGTTATTCGATTTTTGTAAAATTTGTCGGGTTCCGAGGTGCGGGCCCGGGGGTCGACTTTTGGGCCGATTTTTGGATTTTGTTAAAGATTGAGACTTTATGATCCGGAATAGTTTCTTATGTGTTTTATTTGTGCTTTGAAGTTAATTTGGTTAGATTTGAGCCATCCGGAGGTCTTTTCACCCGAGAAGTGCATTTTTGAGTATCGGTGTGTCGTCCTTGAGGTAAGTATCTTGCCTAACCTTGTGTGGGGGACTTCCCCTTAGGATTGAAGTCTTCTATGTTGATTGTAGTTCGTGTACGCGAGGTGACGAGTGCGTGCTCGGACTTATTTGTGAAAAAATTGGCCTTTTAGGGTTCTTAGGTCTCTATATTCACTGTGTAGGAATGTGTTCTTGACATGACTGAGTTTCTTATTTATTGTTTCACCTCTACATGCTTGATTGGAATTAATTGCTTCATGATTCACTCTTATTGCCTAATTGACTCCTAATTGATTTGACTGCAGAATTTCTCCTCACCTATTGTCATGCTATCTTTTCACAGTTGCTTATCTTATTTGAGAATTTCATCACCCCTTCTGAAATTGTTTAGTCTTAAGTGAAGCTAAGATCATTCTCCCTTAATTGAATTTTAGAATATCCTCAAAATTTGTCCAACCTTAAAAGGAGTTTAGATCATTTATATCTTGTTGACTTGCCTTTATTTGGGACTACTTGACTCGTGTTGATTTCCTTGTTATTGACTTGTATATTGTGGGATCGTTGCTACATGTTAGTTTCCTGTGGTTGAATTGTTCCCTTTATGCTAGCATTCTTTTCTGTTGTTATTCTTTGTGAGTTGGTTCTACCGTTTCCTTGTGCTTTACAGTCCTTAAGTTGATTTACTTGTCTTACCTTGTATTATTGTCATTTGTTATTGTTTTATGTATTGTGGTGATGTACGAGCTTTCTGTTGTGTTGTGACTGTTGTTTCTGTTGGTTGCGTTGCATGTTTACTTTGGGGCTACAAATCGGTGTTTCGGGAGATCCCCTGCATATTTACTTTTGGGACTACGGGGCTGCACCCGGGAGATCCCCAGCACATGTATTGAGGGTACCAAGAGATCATCGGGATACCAAGAGATCCCCAGCACATATATTGAGGATACCAAGAGATCCTCGGGATACCAAGAGATCCCTAGTACATATATTGAGGATACCAAGAGATCTTCGGGATACCAAGAGATCCCCAGCACATATATTGAGGATACCGAGAGATTCTCGGGATACCAAGAGATCCCTAGTACATATATTGATGATACCAAGAGATCCTCGGGATACCAAGAGATCCCTAGCACACATATTTACGTTTGGGACTACGGGACGATATCCTGGGAGATCCCCTGTTAAAGTCATTGTGTTCTGAGCTGATGTTTTCATTGATCCTATTCCTGTGTAAACATTATAGGTGTTGTCCATTCTATTCCTTGTACTTATTAGTTGGTATGAACTATGTTAGGACACTTACACAAGCATACACTTGGTTTATCACCCTTATCGGATAGGAGACTCCTTGAGATTTCTGAGTATAGATGCACACCCTTGTTATTTGCCTTCCATGTGAGAATGACTCTTTTGGGGCACGTGAGTTGTCAGTATGATCAGGAGGTGTGATGAGGGCACATGATGCCAAGTGTTAGGGTTCAGGTATTGAGACCCGTATTGTATGATTATGAGATGAGGTGTCACATGGTGACTGATATGCGAAGGTTATCTATCTGAAAAGATTATATTCGAAAAGCCTTTATTTTGAAAGAACTCTTTTTACAAAGAACACTTATTCGAATGAAGTATATTTATAAACATTTTCTCTTTTATCACTTGAAGGGTTTGACTATTTGATTGACGCTTGCTGGTTAAGACTTAAAGTGAAAACTATCGGAGTTGTTGAGTTATGACTTGTCTTTACTGTATTTGTGATTTCGGAATCGGGTTGTATTCTCGCTTACCTTTCCGTGTTTTTTCCTTACGGTGTTTTCCCTGAGTACTTGCTGTTTTCCTTCCTTATTTTAATTACTGTGCTGTTAGCCGTATCGCGTAGTCTCTATATAAATATCATGTTCTGTATATTAGACCAGTAGGTGTCTTGACTGTTCCTCGTCACTACTCCACCGAGGTTAGTCTTGATACTTACTGGGCACCGCTGTGGTGTGCTCATACTACACTTCTGCACATTTTTTTTGTGCAGATCCAGGTATTGTTCGATAGTAGCTGTGCAGATTCTTGCCGAGGAGACTCAAGTTAGTCCTATTGCTGCGTTCGCAGGCTTCGGAGTCACCTTCCTATTTTATATTCACACTATTGTACTTATTTCCATACGGTTGTGTTTAGAAGTTGTAGCGAAACTCTGTAGAGCTTATGACTTGTACTACCAGGTTTTGGGAAAGTTGTTCATTGTATAAAGGATTAATCTCAGAAGAATTCTAACTGTTATTAGTTATTGTTATTATTCCGCATTTTAGTAGGCTTACCTAGTCCTTAAGACTAGGTGCCATCACGAAACCCAACGGAGGGAAAATTGGGCCGTGACATTAACACTTGAAGTCGTCGTCCCAAATTCAGAACCCATAAGGTTAAAATTCCGGATCTGTCTCTACCTATAGTGTGACCCAATGTAATACAGTGTACGCAAACCTTACTCCTACCTTTAAGAAGGCAGAGAAGAAACTATTTAAATTTGTAAATTTTATATGTTGCAAAAGAGTGAAGTCAAGTACTCCCTTCGGTCCAAAATAAGTGATTTTTTGGCCTTTCTTTTGTGATCCAAAATATGTGATTTTTTCAGATTTCAAGAATGAATTGATTATGTTTTTCCTACATTGCCCTTGGAGTAAATAGTGTTGGAGTATGTGTAAGGAGTGTTTATGTGAAGAGATGGTAAATGTTAATAGGGTCAATTTCATTGCTAATTAATATAAAAGGGTAGATTTCTCAATCTGTGTGAAAACAGCTAATTAAAAATCACTTATTTTGGACCGGAGAGAGTAATAATATTTGACGTTTTGAAGATATCATAAAAAGGTATATATGTGTGCCATTCGATTTCCTTTGATTGCGGCAACTATATAAACGGACACGTGAGTTAGGTCTACATTCCGCTATTAATTTTACCACATTCAACACGCAAATACGAAGCTTTTTTCTTTATTTTGAAAAGACAACGTGACTCACAACCCAGAAATTAATTTTGACTCAATTGAATATCGGTCCTTATTCCTTATTACCTGTGTGCAAAAAAAAAAAAAAAAAAAAAAAAAAAAAAAAAAAAAAATATATATATATATATATATATATATATATATATATATATATATATCATTTTCCAAATTATAACGCCAAATAAACCAGGACATATTAAAGGAAATATTATAGTATGGGCAGTATCTATACATACTAACAGTTCAGTCTGTAAAAAAAACAAAATCAGAAATATTATAACAACGCAACAGCCAATAATTGTTACACAAGTGGTAGTATAGTACAAGAATGACATTCTGGAAATTAATCTAACTTGTTTGCTCTACCAGCAACAAAAGGTTTTAGCTTAAAACAGTTGGATAAGTATAACAGAGTAAATTAAAGAGGACAGGGTGTGAGGTGCACGTGATGTCTAGGCTCCAGCACAACAGGAAAACCAGAATAACCTGTGAATTACAAAATACAGATCATCTCCAATCTCTCATGCACCTTTTGTAACGGGATTTTGCCTTTTTGCCTTCCCCAACAGCTGGATTTATTCCTTGATATATTCTCCCTTATTCTTTTTTATAATAATGTAAAATTTTGTGTGTTTAATATTAATTATAACGGGAGACTTGGAATAACAGGAAAGTTGTGTTTGTGTGGCTAACAGGTCACAGGTTCGAGGCGTGAAAACAACCACTAATGCCCCTATTAAAGTAGATTGTCTACATCAAACCCTTAGAGATGACTCTTTTCCGGACCACAATGGTGGATGTAAAACTATATGTACGGTTTCAATTGAACCCATAATTTTCGATGTAGAACATAAATATATGCGTCAAACATCAATGGAATTGTAATAAATAGTCGATATGAACCTAGATATAATATTAAGAATATAATGGGTTCAATGCTAAAAACTTTAAAGTTTGAACCAATGAAATTTAATTCTGATTTCGCTTCTGCCATGTGTGAATGCAGGACACTTTTTGCATGAGCTGCCCTTTTTTATGAATTTAATATTTGAGATTTTATTACCAAACTCATTATATTTTTGAAATTATAGAATTTGAATCTAATAATTTTTTTACTATAATTTTTCACATATATATTTATATTTCGTATTGATAATATTGGGTTCATAGTAATTGACTAAATAATAATAATATTACAACTTATCTTTCTTTAAATGAGTAATTAATAACTACTTCAGCCTTCTTGGAGGAGTATATGATTGACATTGAGAAAAAAGTAGTATTACCTTCTTAGTTTTCAATAGTGAAAAGTATTTTGGATCAATTTATTTTGGAATAAAATGATAAATAAAAAAGATGGAAGTAGTTAGGACAATAATACACTACACCCATGATCCAAAAATTTTAGATCCAAAACCTCTTGTCCCTATATAAACACTCTCAACTGTCTAACCCTTTTCATTTTCTCCTCACAAATTTTCCCATCTCTCTAAATGGGAAAAGAAAAAACACTATCAAAATCAAGAACAATGACACCAAAAATGGTGGCCAATTTTCGAAGATCTCTATCTTTTCCAAATCATCCTAACCATTCAAACAAACCCAAAAAAACCTTCCACGTCCGATCAGCTAGTCTTCCTTGTCGATCTCATCCTTTAATTTCTCAGCTCAAAGATGATTTAAACGAGCTTAAATCATGGGCTTTAAAGCCCGAAAATCGAACTTCAGCTTGGCTTTGTGATGGATTGAATCAACTCAAGATTGTTCATGAGTCTCTTGATGATCTTCTTCAGCTTCCACAAACTCGTGAATCTCTACATGGCCATTCTGATTTGGTCGAGAAGCTTCTAGATGATTTTCTTCACTTTGTTGACGTTTATGGAATTTTTCAGACATTGATTCTCACTTTCAAGGAAGAGCATTTAGCTGCTCAGGTAGTTTAAACTTAAGTTTTTCAAAAACATTGATGTGTCTTTAACACATTCCTTTGCGTATTAACTTGATTCTTTGTCATAACTATACACATGAAAGTATTTTTTATATTTTGAGTGACGTTGTCATGTTACCGAGAGCTCACGGGTTCAAGCCATAAAAACAGTCTTATGTTGAAATGCAAGGTAATAAAGCATAGACCCTTGTGGTTCGGCCCTTTCTCGGATTTCACGCATAACGGGAACTTAATACACGAGTTTTTTTTTTTTTTTTTTTGAGTGACGCTGAGATTTGAACCAAGATCTCCTGTCGGTGCATGACACAAATGACCTTTTTAGACTACTCTTTAAAATTTGGCCCCTCCTTAGCTAAGTGAGCTAAATTGTCTTCAAAAGAAAAACAAAATCATATTCCAACTACATTTAAAGGCTAAATTTAGCCCACATGGTTTTAGGAGATAGAATAAAGAGTAGCCTCAAAAAAGGCTATAGGATTCAAATAATCTCTTCTTGTTCGCTCTGATAGCATGTTAAATTATATGATTATCGTATCTAAAAATTTAAGCAGTTAGAGAAAGGAGTATGTTTTTAATCATTTTATTATATTATGTTTCAACAGGTAGCTGTAAGGCGCAAAGATGAATCCAAGATTGCTTCCTATGCAAAAGCTTTGAGAAAAATGGCTAAAGAAATGGATAAACTCGTGTCTAACGTGCAATGTATAGGAAAATATATTGTGCCACAACAATGTGTACCAGTGCCAGATGGAGATGCAGAGCTAGCAGAAGTCATGAAAGATATTATAGAAGTAACAGAATTGGTTTCTATTGCACTTTTTAATGGACTTGGGGTCTCTATGGCATTTCCAAAACCAACTTGCTCTTGGATTGGATTAGGAAAGAAAACAAAGAAAGTGAAAGAAGATGAAGGTATTGTGGAATTTTTAGAAATGGGGTTGGAGAGTTTATTGTGGGGTTTGAGAAAAAAAGGTGATGAAGAAGTGAAAATGATGTCTAAAAAAATGCATGAATTGGAAGATTGTATTTGTGGAATTGAAAGTGGTGGAGAGAAAGTGTTTAGGAGTTTACTTAATGCTAGAGTTTCATTGCTCAATGTATTCACACAATAGAGAGAAAAAGAAATGATGATGCATATATATTTTTCTTTAATTTTTCACCACGGATCGTCTTTGATATGGGTAAAGCTGTCTTTGTGTCACTTAAGGGTTACGGATTTGAGCCGTGGAAGCAGTCGCTAATGCTTGTATTAGGGTAAGCTATCTACATTATTACCCTTTGAGGTGCAGCCCTTCTCCGGACTCTACATGAACGCGGGGATACCTTATGCACTGGACTGCCGTATCGTCTTTGATATGCTATTTTTTTTTTTTTGAAATCTTTGTTTTGTTTAATGGAGGAAGACAAGTTTACTGTTGAATATATACTGAAGATTCTTGTTAATTTTATAGCGTTTTAAGTGAGGTAATTGAATTTACTATTAGTAAATTGTAATTAATCTGCATTTCTTTAAAAAATTTGAGTCGCGTTTTTTTCCTGAAGATAATGACAATTGTAGTTGTTTTTGTTAAATTTGACACCTTTTACGTGGGCTAATACATTGGAATTATAAGTTCATCTTAAGACAGTAATTCATGAACTTTCCAATGTCCTAGTTTCACCATATAGTTTTTCTTTATATATACTTTTAAAAAAACAGTAATTACACCTTAATTCTAAACGAGTTAAAAACAACCATATAAACTTTATTGTCTAACATCTCTTTTGGCAATAGATTTTGATTTTCTTTTCTCAGCAAAATTTGAAAATATTTTTTGTTTATGAAAGATGATCAGTTTTTGAAAAAAAAAAAATTGAATTGTTTTTTCAAGTTCCTAAGAACTGGTTTAGGGCAGTTTTTGGATAAAACATTTTCTTTCACTTTAATTTATATATATATACATATATATCACTACTAAAAAACGGACCATTTTCGGCCGAATATTCCGATGGAAAAATTAAGTAGTCGGAAACTTCCGACGGAATCGGTCGGAAAATGCATAAAAATGTATCTTTCAATTTTTAATAATAGTTATGACTGATATTCCGTCTATATCCGTCGTAAATTTTGGCGGAAAATTCTGTCGTCACTGTTAGCGACAAATTCGGTGGGAAATAGTATTCGTCCTTAATTAGATGATAGTACCATTTTGTAAGAAATGTATAGTAGTAACAGTATTAGTTATGCAAACCAAGAATTAGTTTTTTTTCCCCCTATATATTTGATCATCAATTCTTTAAATGAACTAAAGACTTCTGCTTTTAAAACTTTTGATTGGAAATTAGGCAGGTGCTGCCTGTCAAAAGCCAAAAATATAGCTGGAAAAATTGGGTAGAACAGCAAACTGCACATTCACTCTATTTCAAATAGAGAAAGAAATATATATATATATATATATATTAAAGTGAAAGTGACTATTTCCATTAGTAATTTGCCCGTTATTCTTAAGTCGACATTCGACATGTGAACTGGATTATTCATCTAAAACACAAAATAATCCTCAAAAAATAGATGCAAATTTCAAATAATGAACAAAAGCAACTTGCACATGATTTGTTACGTATAATTGAGAACTGCTCAGTTTTTTCATTATTTACTACAAAATAATGAACCAATCATTTCTTCATTATAATGTTAGCTTTATCTTCGCATAATGCAGTCTCCTGAGGAATCAACGTGAATTGGCTCTGGTTTCTTGGTTTTACAACTTGCATTTTTCTTTTTCTTTTTTTGATTTCTCATCGTCTGCTTATTGCAGAGATCTTATATCCAAGTTAAATATAAATATAATCTGCAGATATGTCCATCCTTTGTCGGAATAAATGCCAGAAGATGCAAAGAATAATTGTTATCGTCTTAATAATCACATTAACACTAATAATCTTTCGTTAAGTACAAAAAAAAAACAGAAAAAAAAAAGATAGAAACATGGACTCATGTGTTTGTGTCTGGAAAAACACTGTGAGTGTCTTTTAGAAGATATTTGATGAGAAAGAAAATGAATTTTTCTAATTTTATCACATTCATATTCATTATATAAGATATTTTAGATCTGTCCTTAGTGAAACCAAGGCAATCTTGTCGGTGAACGGTAGGTTGATTTTTCTACAATCCAAATATTAGTCGTCATTTTGATAAATTGAATTTATTTTAAAGTATTTAATATTTATATTGTAAGAAAATACGAAGTCCTTTAATTTGATACTTTTTTTTTTTTTCAAAATCTACCTTTATTGTACGAGTAGAATACTGATTAAGCGAGAATCTTAAGAAAGGATTGATGATTGTTTACGCAAATACACTTATAATTAACGCTATAAATATATTATTTTAAGGGCTGTAAAATTATCCTTTCGAAAAATAGATAATATGAACTTGGGGGCGTATTTTTCTATTATTTGGCTAATTAAAGGACTATCATATGGTCTTCGATAATTGGAGTATTTTCATATGTTGACTGCTGGCCCAAGTAAAGGTGAGTTTTGAAGACTGACAAAGGAACTCAGACATGGACCAGGTCCATCTTAGTGAAGCACAGATATGGTCAGACTCAAGCATGTGAGTTGCACGTGAAAGAGATAAACCTAACTTAACAGAAGTGATATCTCCTGATCCTGATCGAAAATGTTGCATATTGGATAAGGAGAAGGACTCCTTACTCAAAGAGAACATAGTTTGAGAAAGGGAAGGAGTTAGAGGTTGAGATCAACTAGAACTCTTCCACCAAGGAAGATTAGCATCAAAATTCTAGTCAATCTCTATTTACTAACTCTATAAATATCAGTGTTGTTCTCTTTTACAGGTAACACACATAAGCAGAAGTTAAACGTGAATTGAGAGCAAAATAGCAAGGCAATTTTGCAAGCTATTTGTGTGTGATTCAAGCGTGCAAACCTGAAGCTACTTGAACTAGATAGAAGAACCAGTTTCAAGTGTCTGTCTTTTATTTCTAGTTGAATTGTAGTAGGTGGTTTTATATTGTACCTTTCAGCTTTATCTAGAAGTAACTATATTAGGTACTCAGAGTTTTCAGAGTTAACTTAAAGTTGTCGCTACAGTTGAGGATGTGTGCTACAACGGGATTAGAGTTAGTCCTAGGTTTACAAAAGAGTTTCGTAAATGCAGTTTTTGGCTCAGTGATTTTAGTGGAGAGTTTGGGAAAATCTTACTAAGTAGTAGGTCGTGGTTTTTTCACCTTTTGAGCCAGGTGTTATCCACGTAAAATCTTTATGTTCTTTAATTTCTGTACTTATTATTCCGCAACAGTAGTAGTTGGAACACATAGTAGAACCAGGTCCTTCCATAAACAACTTAAGCAAAAAATTTGTTACCACACAAATCACCCCCTCCCCCCCCCCCCCCCTCTTGTGTGGTATTGAAGTATAAAACATCAATTGGTATCAGAGCGGGTTATCCTTTAAGAGGCTAACACCTTAGGAACAGATCAAGATGAGTGCACCACTTGAAAACTGGGAAGGACAATCCACTGCTAGGCCTCCACTCTTTAATGACCAGTACTACTTGATCTCTGCCAACTCAACACCACTAAAAAGTAGCGAGAGAGGGTCGCAATAACTTTTACCCGATTTGTGGGTCGAGATCGAATCCACAGAGAGCTAGGATTGGAGTCGAGTATCCATTTAGCTTAGGATTGCGTGTATGTTCTTAATTGGTCTTCTATTCATTTTTGGGTTTTCTTTATATTCTACTATGATCAAACTACAAATTATAATTGCAACTAAATTAGACTAAGAGTAAATTGCTACAAATTGTATCTAAAGGTTTAAAAGGCACTAGGGTAGTGACCTTCATCTAGGTGGCTAATTGACGGGTAATTGCATCTAAGGCACGATTGATATGATTGGGGAAATATGTTATAACCGTTGCTCAATACTACCCACTCTACTCCTCTCGGTAGAAAGAGTGATTTTGCCCAATTGACTCTCTCGAGACCAATTGGGTATGCATGTTTGCCCGAGCAACTAGGGTTCAAGTCGGGTAATTACTCTCTCGAGGTTTAACCCTTTAATTGGGACTATCAAATCTCTTGAGTCCATCCCAATTCCTTGTTGAGTCAATTTTGGAGACTTAGGCTCTCTTTCTCAAGAAGAGCCAAGTCAACTTAGCACAAACTGGTGTTTGCAACCACTAATTCATAAATTAAACCATAAAATTGACCCAAATAACAAACACCCATAATCAATCTAACCTTAAATCACAACACCCATCAATTACCCACACTAGAGTTGAGCCACAACCCTAGCTAATGGGTTTAGCTACTCGTGCTTGAAGATAAAATCAAAGAAATAGATGAAGAGAAAGACATAATATTAAATTACTAAAGTAAGGATAATGATTCAATTGCTAAATCTATTTTAAAATGCCCAAAATGGCTACAAAATAGCTTCTCACGAGCGCGGCTAATGTCTGATAACAACTGGTTACCCAAAAAATGGAAAAATGTTCTATTTATACTAAGCTGGAAAAACTGGACAAAAATGCCCCTGCAGGGTCAGTGCGGACCGCACAAAATGGACTGCGGTCGCACTAGGCTCTTGGACTTAAAATCTTACTCTCTGAACCCAGGCTCCGCGGACCGCGCAGAATGGACTGCGGCCGCGGAGGCAGCTAGCGCGGTCCGCACAGAGTCGACCGCGGACCGCTTAGGCTTGATGATAGCTCTGGACATCTCTCTGAAGTTGGCTTCCGCGGACCGCACAAAATGATAGTGCGGCTGCGGTGCCTCTGTGCGGATCGCACAAAACCTTCTGCGGCCGCACTGACTTGATGCCTGAAAAACCACTCTCTGAATCTCCCTAGTGCGGACCGCACAAAATGGACTACGGCCGCACTAGGCTGTTTGTCCTGAGTTCTCTTGTCTTTGATACTTGTGCAGGTTTCACTCCCTTTGAGCCGATATTTGACATCTCTTCACTTTGTTGATCAAACCTGCAATCAAGCACAACTTATGAGCCTTTCGGGACTATTTTGTAAGAATTTATACTCAAAGCGTAAGCAAGAAGGAGCATGAAACACGTCAAAATCCCCAGTTATCAACTCCCCCAAACTTAAGCTTTTGTTTGTCCTCAAGCAAACAAAATAAGACCCACCCCTTGAGGTAAAATCCAAGAATTTTCAGCTATCCTAAAGTAACCTCAACTAGCATCAATTGGGACTAACAATTGCCCTCAATACAAATGAATCATTAACAACATTTAACCTTTGAAAAACCATGGATCAAGTACGACACAAGAGCATCAAGAGTTGACTCAACACATCAAAGAACTCTTTCAATTACTTTGGTCATTGTGGAACCCAAACTCACACATCCTCAACTCTCCCTAAGCAAACCTCACCTTTTAGAATAGTGGCACACAAAACGAGGTTAATGGGAATTCACTCATCTCTCTCAAGGAAAGGTCACAAGTCCGGCTCTAGGTACCATATTCTTGCCCCTTATGTAAGTATCCACTAATGTAAGCTTCATTCAGCTCAAGATCA